CTCGACAAACCAGTCCAAGCGGAATCTGCAAGACACCATCAAACTGAAAGCAAGATTGGACTTCTGGCTTTGGACCCTTGGTTTCAGACCCAGTCTGCCATTTCATCGGGTGGGCATCCAAGCTTCAGTTTCCCTCTGTGTTAAACGGGGATAAGAAATCCACCTCCTGGGCTCACTGTGAGGGTTCAATGGGGTAATCATGTCAGTAGCTGAGAAGCACGAATATTTGATCTATGTCAGCCATTATTACTGTTTTCCAAATCTTGGTTCCTCCACTAGTGACTTTACCTCTTGGAATGTTAGTCTCCTTTTCTGTAAAATGGAGAAATAATAGTACTATCTCTTAAGGTTGCTGTAAAGATTAAACGAGTTACTGTACATGAAGTACCTAAAACAATGTGTACATATAGTGTTAACTATTACTATTACAACAATCACTACAACTACTACTGTTGTTCATACTATTAATAGCTTATTCTCCCTCCTCCTCCTCCTGCTATAACTACTACTGTTACTTCTACTGCCACTGTGGCTGCTGTTGTTGCCCTGGTAGTTGGGTAGTTAATACAGTTGCAATGAGATCTAGAAATGGCAACTCCCTCCTCTGTGTGAGAGATCCTTAGCCTATGTTTAAACATTCAATTGAGTTTACTATATGCTATACTTTTTAACATGTTTTAAGCTATTCAAACATTTTTATTTTCTGCACATAAGGCCAAATAACCTGTTGAACTGATTGCCCATTTTTTTAGCTGAGTTGTTTGGGTATGCTGTAGACAGAACCCGAGACAACAGAAGAGTTAGTGAACTTCAATTGTTTATAAAGGAGCGGCATAAAAATAATCTTTAAAGCTAAGAGAATGTTAATATTTAGATCCATCTAAGGGAAAATAATAACAGTTTGTGATTTCCTCCCGCCTCACTTCCAGGGCAAACATTTTTAAGGGAGGATTTGATTTTGTAACATAAATTGTTTTCTATATAACCCCAAAGACATGAGTGATTAATAGTGAGCTATAGAAAGAGATGCCCATAATTAGTAGCTTGGGTACAGTCAGATATAAACATATATTTTGTTTGTGAAACATGTATCTTGAAAAAAAATACATCCTGCTAGATGTCACAAAAGGGTCAAGATGCTAAGAAAAAAAGTCAAGACAAAATTTTTAAAATAAAATCAAAATCAAATATGATAAATACATGCACACCCAAAGCACACTAAGCCTGAGACAAAATTTTATCCAGGTATTTAATCATCATCATCATCGTTGTTGTTATTACTTGTATCAATGTTGGTATAATATTGTGATTCTGATTTTAATTTTAATTACAAGGATCTTAACCAAACATACAGTATCTTAAATGCAGATAAATAAATGCTTTTCATATAATGGGTCATTAACATTTTAAGACCGTAAAATGCATCTTGTTTATTATCACTAATAATAGAATTATTAATTGTATTACAATTCACTAATATTCACTAAAATATTACTAATAATTCACTAATAATCACTAAGTCACTAATAATTGTTCACTAATAATTCAGTAACATATCATTAATAATCACATTATTATTAATATATCATTAATAATTCTATTATACTAATATATTACTAATCTATTATGTTAATATATCACTAATAATTCTATTAATTCACTATAATTTTAATAATTCTAGTATTGGTGATACATTAGTGAATTAGTGAATTATTTCACTAATAGAATTAAAATTAATTAGTGAAATAATTAGCAAAATAAACTAGTGGAAAAAATTATTTAGTGAAATAATTCACTAATAATAGAATTATTAGAGATAATAATGACATAAGTCACATCCGACACTTATTGGGCACTTATGAAGCATCAGAAACTGGCCTAAGTTCTTTAAATGACTCCTTTTGAGAATTCCTGTAGAAATTTTCATTCCCACTTTATTGATAAAGACACTGAGACAGAGAAATCAAGTAACTTGACCAATGTCACATTTTCAGAGACAGAGTTGGGATGTCAACACAGGTGTGTTGAACACCAAACCTTGCTCGCCAAACCACAGTGCTAAACAGGGAACCATCCGAGTAGGCAGCCTCATCTGCTCACCATGAACATTCAGTATGCCAAGGTCAGCTCTCCTAGTCCTGCTCCATGCATTCATATGGCCACTCAACATATGTTAGGAAGATGTTCACTCAATTCAAACAGCAACAACACTATGTTCCACCATTTTATGACATTTGCTAAGCAGGAGAGCAGGACTTTTAGTCAGGATCACTGCCTCTCACCATGCAGGATGAGCACCACACATATCCAGGGGAGCCGCTCCCAGAGTACTGTTTGGCAGGCACACCCTGCAGTTGTGCAACATGGCAGCCCTGCCCTGACTGCTCAGAATGTGGTTTGTGACTCAGCACCAAAACACTCCAGCCAGTGATTGGACAGGAGTAAACACTTGACCACAGGGAGCCAATCAGATTCTGGTTAGTTGGACACTGACCTGAGAGACACAAAAGAGTCTCCTCTATCTATGAGGTCACTGCTAGAACTGGACAGGTGTGAGGCCTGGGGCAAGGCCATCACAGTCTCTGCGCAGGCTGGGGTGGCAGAAGACTCTAGAATGAAGAGGGACAGGCAAGGCACACAGGGAAAAATCAAAGCGCCCACATAGCCCGTTATGACAGAGAAGGAAGGTCATTTTTAACTTTCCAAGAATCCCCTCAGACCCTGCTTTACTCTTCCGCTTGGTTTCTGAGAGATTTTTGTGTATTTTTTCAACAAACCTGTCTCTGTATTTGCCTGAGGTTAAGGGCATACTGATCTATGCAGGACAGAGAAGTGCCCATTCTTAGCCATATTTCATCAAATGAAAGTTTTCTTTGTTATACAAAGGGCAGGCTTGAATCTCAGTCCCCAGATTCATGTGTCCAAGAAATATAACTTTATTTTTCCATACCACAGCTGAATTTCTATTTTGAGAGCCCAGCCTGTGACAAGGTAGCAGAAGCCTAATCTCAGCCACATGGGGATTCTAGGGGTTGAGCAGGGCTAAGCAGGCAGGGATGGGGTGGCGGACATTGGGTCCTCAGTCATCTTGAGCTGAGCACAGTGGCATCTGCTTTGATGCCCCGGGGCCCACCTGGTCCTGGCTACCATGCAGTAAGTTCACTGCTGCCCAGCCCATGTTCCCACCTTTGCCTCTCCTCTTCTTTCCCCTTGCACTCCTCTCTGGTGCCCAGTAATTCACTCACCACTCTACACCATGCTGGGGTGTGAGAAACTGTGGGGCTATTCGAAAGCCCATCTACTTGGCTCAAAGAATCATTCTTCCCATGGAAACTGGTACGATTGAAGGCCCTTCATCGCTGTACAACCATGTCTCCTTTGAGCACTACCCAGAAACTGAGGCCCAGGCCCTGGGTAAACACAGCTCCCACAATTCTATTGGGGGTTCTGGAATTGTACTTCCCAGGGTTCAGTCTGGGTAGAGACTGAGCACCAGTCCTCTTTCTCAGAGATGATCCACACAGACACTTCCAAATATGTTCCCACAACTCCCTGATGCTTCTTGACACCAAGGAATCTTTACCCGCTTTGGGGTGGATAACCGGCCCTCACAGCTCAGGTATTTTAGCTCATCTGTACCAGGTTCTTCACTTTCTAGAGGGACCTAGGCTTTTGGAATTCAAAAGGCAATACTTTACTTCTTTTTCTACACTTGCTCTATGACAGACCTTCCCTAAGACAATGAAGCCAGACTGACCTAGTTTACTGAATGGAAGAACCAAGGGACCCCAGTAAATACTAGAAAAACCTCAGCTGATATTTCAAAACATTGCCCCAACACACTGCTTTGGGACCCTTGGGCCTCACAAAGTTTGGTTTTGGTCTCACTCTCCGTTTTGTCTAGATGATGTTGGTCAAGCTGAAGTTGGGGTACCTCCATCTTTCAAAAGCAGAGTTGGTGGCACTATGCTTCTGCCATTTTAAACGTGATAATGGTGATAATGCATGCTGAAACATTCACCTAGTTTTCTTTAAGTTGTGGCTTTAGAGTAAATCTTGCATTGTGAAGTTTTGGAAGAAAAAAATTGTAAATGGAGATTTGTCTTCTTTTTGTCTCACATCTACTGTGATAAGCATTAAGAAAATGTTTCCTTTACTTGCTAAAATAACTGTCAGTCCACACCAAAAGGCTCATAATTTATCATCGTTAATTCACGTCTCCATCTTTTTAAATATATTAAATAGTACTTTTCCTTATACATTTCACTGTCTCATATGAATAAGATTTCAATGTGGACAAAAGAACTCATCAGTGATTTATAGAAAATACATCCTCATGAAATAGCACTTTAACAAAGAAATTAATCATACTGCTTTATCAGAGTCAATATCAAAAGTGAGAGCTGTGTCTAAACCTGATTAAGATATTTACTTTTTCTTATTTTCTAACCCCCAAAAATCTTACCTCTTCCAAGATTCCCACAAAGGCTTATACCTGCATCGTAATCTCTTAACCAAACAACTACAATAGCTCATTCTTCCCCTGATTCATTCAACAGAGATTTATTAAGAACCTACTGGTAAGGTTTGACTGTGTCCCACCCACATCTCATCTTGAATTCCCACATGTTGTGGGAGGGACCAGTGTGCTGTTCTTGTGATAGTGAATAAGTCTCACGAGATCTGATAGTTTTAAAAAGAGGTGTTTCCCTGTACAAGTTCTTCTCTTGTCTGTCACCATGTGAGATGTGCCTTTCACCTTCCGCCATGACTGTGAGGCCTCCCCAGCCACGTGGAACTGTTAAGTCCAATAAAACTCTCTCTTTTGTAAATTTCACAGCCTTGGGTATTTCTGTATCAGCAGCATGAAAACGGACTAATACACCTACTGTGTTGGGCACAGAGATGCAAAGATGACTAAGGCAAGAAACTTGCATTGTAGGCCAGTGGAGGAGACAGGGGTTACGACACAAAGTTAAGTTCTATAACAAAGATTTTACTAGCATTAGATTCTGTTTTCTGTGTTCTGTTTCAGTGTCAGTTCCACCATCCATCCAGCCTCCACTCTGGTGCCAGTTCCTTTCCTCCAATCCAGTCCAGATTAAACCCCTCTCCTACCAAAAAACAAACAAACAAAAAAACAAAAAACAACTCAGTGGTTCTTCAAAGTGACAGTGGCATTTCCCAATCTGGTTTAGGGAAATACTAGTTTCAGGGAATCTGAAAAGGGGGCCTATGGTTTGTTCCCCAAGTAGAGGGTAAACTTTAACATGCCTGAGTTTTTCCTTGTATGTCTTTCCACTTACAATGCCCCTTGCCATTCTCCTTTATTTCACTTCTCTCTCCTCCATCTGAACTCTTATCTATACTGCAAAACCCACTCAAATCTTCTCCATAATGCCTTCTCGGATTTTTCCAGTCTTAGTAAATCAATCCTTTTTAACATTCCCACCTCTTGTTGCATATTGTAGCACCAATCACTTTGTATTACTCTTTTCTCTGCCTCCCTCAATAGATTGAAAGCCCCTGGCCTTTCTCTTTTAGCTCCAGCATGCAGTGCGTTGCCTGCCACGTAAATGATTGTATACACATTAAGCATTTCATATCAATTGTTCACACGTTTTTTAAAACTCCATTACTTCCTTTCAAGCCACCAGAAAAATCAGGCGTGAATTTGGTGTGCATCTTTCTCTTAAATTCAAATTCTATGTTTGAAACTGGGTTCCTATCAATAGACAGGCATCTGTGATGGCTACACAGGGATTCCTAAGTCACTCACTCCATCTTAGAGGTTTTCTTTTTCTGCTCTATTATAAAATCACATGCTGTTAATTTCTCCAAGTGTTTTTTAAATTGTATTAAATGTTGCTAGGTATCTCCCTACAAGCAAAAAGGAAAAAAGCAAGGAAACTATATTTCATCCCTTCACACTTTATGCTACCGTCCCTGGTAGCATAAGTGAATATTTGTTGGAAACGTTTAAAAAGCTGTACTCTGAGAAAAAAGATAACCCCATCCCAAATCCCAGTTTAGAGCCACGCTGCATGCTCCCTAGGCTCCCCAGGTTTTTCGTCTGGATTTTCTCTTTTTTTAATATGTTTTTATCTGCCTCCTAGTTTCCAAGCACTTTCAGATAATCAGACAAACAGCGGGGCTGTGTTGGTCTGCACACTGGTCCTCCTCTACCTGCCCCATCTCCCCTCCCCGTTGCCTCCTTTTATCAAAGAAACTCAAAGGGAATTTGTTCACTTTACCAACAACTCAGCCACTTACAACTCAGCAAAGAAGTTGGCTTATTTTATTATCTGATAAGAAAAGAAACATGACATTCTCCTCTTTATTAAAACACCACTTTTTCTGACTACAACGGGAAATTTCAGCATCGTATATCCCCCAAACATTTTGATTTTTAGTTAAATGGCATGTTTCCTTCACATTGTATACCCTCCTGACATACATGTCACACTCTCTCACACACACACACACACACACACACACAGAGTTTCTCATGGAACTCTAAACAGCCTGCCCTCCATCTTCCCCTTCTTTCCTATTCCCCTCTCCCCAACTCTCCAGGTCTGCACCCTGGCAGTCTGGTCAACCCTGCAAGCTCGTCCTCCTTGGTGCCTTCATGCCTGTGATTTCTGTCCTCATCTTCAGGCTTCCAAACACAGCTCAGGTCTCATCCACAAAGCCTTCCTTCACTGACTACATGTACACAATGACCCTTCTCTAACCCACAATGTATTTTAATGCTCTGGTGCCTATGTTAGCCTTTATTCCAAACGTTTCTAGCCTTATGTTCATTGTTATGTCTTGACTATCCAACCAGTCAAGCAGTGAGCTGGAGGGAGGGCATGAGCTCTGTAGTCAAGCAGCTATTAGTTCTGGATCCTCATATCTGAGCTACAAGATGCCTTGTTTTAGTTTGTTTTAAATAAAGAAATTAACACCCTCACCCCTCGCAAAATCTAACGTTCCTGTGAGCATTAAACGAGGTCTCCCGTGTGAAGCACCTGGACTTCATGCCCTTCATGAACTATCCTACTGCTTCCCTGAGAGCAGGACCATGTCTTACCCCAGTCCTGGGTCCAAGGAATGCCTAGCACAGTAAAGCAGGATGTTACCAGCAGCAATGGTTGAAATGCCCAGAATTAACAAAAAGCTGGAAACACAATCCTCCTCGGCAAGGAAATGAGACAAATCTTTCACTATTTAAGATCAACGTGCCTCTAGAAGTGAAATGGAACATGAGATAGCATAAAAAAACAGATCAATCACAACACGCAGATCATTTCTACACTTAGAAGCCATTTTACTGAGCACACATAGAAAAACAAATGTCTAACACCTTTGGCAAAGGCTTCCTGGAGTCTCACAGGGGTAAGCATGAAAAAGTCTCCTGCCTTTTTAATTAACCAAGTTCTGACTAGATTCTACAATGCATCAGATCAAAAGGCAGGGATTGAAAATACTACAATCAGACATTAAGTGCATTTCTTTAGTTTCTAAATGAGTCAGAAAACGCAGCACAGTTAAGCTATAGACGTTTGCAGGCTAAGTCTTCTCCTTAACCTCAGGAGTCAGGACAAAAACAGCAGGCCCTTAGTTTGAGTCTTCTCAGCTACACAATGGGTGTGAGGTGAGCGACTCTTTCCAATTTGCATGATTCCTATAATTTCCCATCATGAAATGGAGGAAAATGCCATTCATCCACATAAGAAGTCTCACTGAAAAGCGAAGCACTTCTCTCTATTTACTTAAGCACTGGGCTAGAATACAGAGAAGTACAATAAATTCTAAACATGGTGCACATCTGGTCCAAAAACCACAATCAGTTTATTGCTGCATCTGAAACATTTTCAGCAACTGTCATATAATATATTTTCACACATTTCTAACAAGACATTTTCTTGGAAACAAAATAGACAGGTATATCTGTCAGTTCCATTTCTTGCAAACGAAACAGAAAAATGTTTGGCTCAGATGTCTGTACCGTCTTTGGAGCAGTGTAACTATCATATGAGAAGGGTATTAGTCAAAGATGCCAAAAGCTCGGCGGTTACTTCCAAAGAGTGGAATTACTGGCTATACAGAAAAATAAGATATATGCATGTATGTATGCACCTCCCTTCTTTCCCATTCCAACAGAATCATTTATTGCATTTACTCTAAAGAGATGTACCAGGGTCTTGTTAAACCCATCTATCTCCCAGTATGAAAATACTGGGCTTCCTATTAAATAGAATCTTCTCATCCCTGTGGCTCTTTGAGCAGAACTTTATTCAACATTTTATTAAAAATTAAAATGCAATTGAAATCACATTAAGATGCTTAAAAGCTCCACATTTTTACCCTAAACCCCTCATGGGAATTCACAAGGAGGGAACAGAAAGGTATCTGATAGCCAGAGAACCCCAAACCCAATAAAGAAGGTTGCCAAAATGTCCCAATATAGGCCCCAGTGAAACCATTTACTGGCTCACTGTTGGCTGCATAATCTGCCTTTAAGCACTTTCTCCTCTGCAAAAACCCCAGGACTCCTTTAAGAGCCATGTCTCAGCACACAAAACTTTCAAGTGACTCACCCTTCCCTCCCCCTTCCCTGGCCCAGCCCCGCATCCCCTAGCACCAGCCATGCAGTCTTTGACCTTTCCTGATAACCCACTCACAGCTCATTCTGCCTGCAGGGCAGACAAGAAACGCACAGGGGCAATTTTACTGAAGCTTTGACAACATTCATAAAAAGAATGGACATAGCCAACCCCCTTGCACACTTCTGAGCCTTTGCCTGTGTGGCTGCCTCCACCAGGAATGCCCTGGCTGACTTTGGCGAATGACTCATCGTGCTTCACAGCTCAGTTCAACTAGCGATTTTTGGTGACAGCTTTCCCTGACACCCCTTCCCTTACTGAATGAGGTGGTCCATCCTCTGTCATGGGGCGGAGCATCCCATACATCCTGCTCCCACTCCAACCTATTGCGCTGATATCCAATAGAAGGCAATACGTGTCACTGTGTCTCACGTACCAGCCTGCAAGCCCCTTTAGGCAGGGCCTTGGTCATGTTCTTGTATCCCCAGACCCTGGGATACTGACTTTTATATGGAACGGACTCAGCAAATGTTTACTGAATAAAAGAATAATGGCAGCAATCCAGAAAATTCCTGACTGTACCCAGACTAAAGGGCTTCAGTTGCTTCTCCATGAACAGAAAAGAGAACCTCAGAAAATGGCCAGTTGAGAGTTTTCAGGTCTTTCAACCAACAAGGGTTGATGGTAAGGATGTCCAACGGACTGTACGAACACGAAGAAGGAAAATGCATGCTTTCTCAAGCTGGGCCTGAAGTCTTGCTATTAGAATTAGAGAAATATGAAAGTGATAAAGGAGACCACCCAAGAGAAGGGAATTTGGGGGACTGCAGTGAATAGGAGGCTGAAGGGTGAGCACTCTCCACTCTGAAAGACGGCAGGTGAACGAAAGGCCAGGATGCAGGTGAGAAACCAGGGCAGGGGAAAGTGGGACAAGGATTTATCAAATTACAGCACCCTAGAATGGCATGGGGTCTCTTGAAAATAAAAAAAGGTACATTCAGGAAAAATTTTGAAAGACTCTCCCCACGTGAGCAGATTAGTTTAAAAGACGAGCACAGAAGGGATTAAGGCCCACGGAAAGAAGAAACCCCATGTGGCACTCATTTGAGTTGAACAAAGGGACCTGCGCTGATGAATACATATGAGGCCGGTCCTGTACCTAAGTTCCCAGTCCAGAAGAGAAGTCAGAGGAAACCAGGGAAGTTCAGAAGAGCTCGGTGAGTGACCATGGGCTCACACACACAGGGCTGTGGGAGCCCACAGCCCACAGTCCGCAGCTCTGAGAAACACACCGCGTTCCGCCTGTGGGGCAGTGTCCTCACAGCAATGCAGGTGTGTTTGAAGGAGAACGCCTAGCAGCAGCTGAAATAACCAAAAACAAGGTGGTAAATGGCTGCCCTGGGCCAATACAGGGACAAATTGGCAAAGTAGAATGTTCCTCGCAGAGCTCTCCAACTGTTCGAGAATTCCACCACCTCTCCTGAGGTGCCCTGGAAAAGGCGAAGTGGAAAGGTA